TTGATCTAATGTCCACATATGAGGGAGAACATACGATTTTTGGTTTTTTGAGCCAGGCTAACCTCACTCAGAATGATGTTCTCCAATTCCATCCATTTACCAGCAAATGATAACATTTCATTCTTCTTCATGGCTACATAAAATTCCATTGTGTATAGATACCACATTTTCTTAATCCATTTGTCAGTGGTGGGGCATCTTGGCTGTTTCCATAACTTGGCTATTGTGAATAGTGCCGCAATAAACATGGATGTGCAGGTGCCTCTGGAGTAACAGTCTTTTGGGTATATCTCCAAGAGTGGTATTGCTGGATCAAATGGTAGATTGATGTCCAGCTTTTTAAGTAACCTCCAAATTTTTTCCAGAGTGGTTGTACTAGTCTACATTCCCACCAACAGTGTAAGAGGGTTCCTTTTTCCCGCATCCTCGCCAACACCTGTTGTTGGTGTGTTGCTGATGATGGCTATTCTAACAGGGGTGAGTGGAATCTTAGTGTGGTTTTAATTTGCATTTCCTTTATTGCTAGAGATGGTGAGCATTTTTTCATGTGTTTTCTGGCCATTTGAATTTCTTCTTTTGAGAAAGTTCTGTTTAGTTCACGTCCAGGCTGGTCTTGAACCCATGGTCCTCACAGAAATGTATCCACCACCAGCTTGAAATGATTTTTTAAAATTCCATTTTCCCTCTCCCTTTCTTTTAGATATTGAATACTCTATTTCAATTCTTTTGGTGTCTTCTTTATAGATTTTAACATAAATGCTTATAAAATTAAAAAGTTACTATTTCTCCCTTCCTCCAAAACTGATCATCTCTTTCCCAATGTATATGTCATTACTGTTACCTATATTAATTCCACCTTTTTAATTTCAGAATGTGAAACTGCTGTTTGATATAGTCAGCGTTTATTTAGTGACTGTCATTCTTACTTCTCCAATCTGGGATTTTTCCTTCCTGAAATGTAATCACTTTATTTTGTTTTGTTTTATTTTACTTTATTTTATTTGTGGCACTGGGGTTGGACTCAGGGCCTCCTTGCTAGGCAGGCGTTCTGCCGTTGAAGCCACACCTTCAGCCCCTGAAATGGAATTTTTTAATAGTGCTCTTGTTGATTAGCAGACTTTCAGCTTTTTTTTTTTTCAACCTCTCTTGGTTTCAGAAGAGACAGAACTACTCTGTTTTGCCCTTGTCCTGAAAACATGTTTTTATCTCACAACAGGTTTAGATTAATTTTAACACATTGAAGCTACCCAATGGCTTGGTTTCCATTACAAGAAGTCAGTCTAATTATCACTACGTTGAAAATGATTGCTTCTTTGAGCATTTTTATAGCAGCTTACTTCAGTTTTTAAACGGGCAGTATGTTTGGAAGTCCATCAGGAATTTAACTCATAGTCTCCTTAAATCTTAATCATCTCTCAGGCTTGCTAACTAGTCTTTTTTTTTCTTGGCAGTATTGGTGTTTGAACTCAGGACTTCAGGATTGCTAGGCAAGAACTCTACCACTTGAGCCATTTCCACCAGTTCAGGCTTGGCTTAGTTGTCGCCTTTGCTGCGAAATCTCACAGCCCTCCCAGAAAGCCTTGGCTTCCTTCATTGCACCCCCATTCCCTATAGTGGCATGGATGGTCACTCATGTGTCTTGAATTAGAGTTGATGCCACATGGTGAGTCACTGGAGGCTTTGCCCCCAGAAATGTATTCAGTGAACCTGGTATGAGTCCCAGAGTTTCCAGTGCATTGCCTGAGCTGTCCTGTGGAAAGGATGGCTCTTACTCATCTCTCTTCTGCTAGTTCTAGAATCTGCCCAGTGTCAGATGTGAAGACAGTGAACATCAAAGAGGATGCTTAGGCTAGAAAAAAGACAAGGCCCAGATCAAAGCAAATGTTGATCAGGATGAAACTTTGATTCAAGTTCAAGTTTGTTGCTTTTAGGAGAATAGTGACATCAAAGTGGTGCTTTAAGAGGAATCCAGCAGAAGAATATAGTGAAAATGTAGAGGACAGGGAGCCAGGAGAATAGAGGGGGCCATGGCAGTAGCAGGCACATGCCATGGTTCTCTGCCACTAGGGAGGGGACCAGAAAGGAAGTGGATACAACTGAAGCTATAAAGGGACATCAGCAGGCTTTGAGTGTGAGTGACCGGAAGAGGGAGGAGTCAGTGTTTCCAAAGCTTTGCTCGGTGAGGAGGCCACAAGCCCCTCTGCTGTGGCAGGCCTTTGACTAGCATGGACCCTCTTGGGATTCAGCCACCCAGAGCTTTCAGTGACCAAGGAAAGCACCAGGCTCTTGGGCTGCTTGGCGTGCCTGGCCATGGCTTTTCAGTACTGACATGGAGTGAGCTGATGGTGAAAGGGGTGCCTTGCGCGTGCCATCTTGGCCATGCTGGGCCTTTCTGGAATGTCTCTGGGGTTCACTGACCTGATGACTAAGCCCACAAATGTCCCACGGACCTTTCCCTTGGATGGCTACTGTCCTTCTGCCTGGCCCTGCCGGGTAGTCGCCTACTCAGTAAGACTGTGACCTGTTGGGACCTCGTCTTCACTCTCTTTGCTCAAAGGATAAACTAGACTTTAGCAAAAAAAGGACAATTGTAGTAAATAATGGGAAATAAACAGAGGGAATATAAAAGAGTGAAAATGAGCGTGTGGCATGTCTTTCTGCTCTTATGTGAGGGTGCGATTTCTCCCCCCTGGGAGGAGTCAGTTTCTCCATCCTCAGGTCCACCTTAGTCTGGCCCTTGTCTCACGTTTTATAGCATGCACTGTTTGCAAACTCTGAGTGGCCCCTGGGTTGCACAACCAGTGGGAATTGTACAGCGGTAATGACCTTCGTAGACATGGAGCTGCAGAGCTGCAGCCAGCATTGCCCAGCCTGTCTGCCTGTGTCCCTCTCCAGGGTGTGCTCTGGTTGTCCACAGTAGGCTCCTGGGGAAGTCTATGTTTCAGTTCCTAGGAAACTGGAGTTCTCCACCCCTCCAGAGATCAAAGATAATTAATGTCTTAATGCGGTGAAGGAAATAAAGCCAAGGTTTTTGCTCTCTCGTGCTACCCCCTGCCTTCTGGAAGATCCTGGCTAGCTTCCTCGTTATCTTTCAGTAGAATAGTTTACAGAAGTCTAAACGTAGATCTGCAGCATTTAAGAAGGTAGCAACACACAGAAACCTTCTTAAAAGGAGGGTACCACCCTCCAGCCACACTGTGAGGGCTGCAAGCACGGTCCTCACTGCCTACACCTGGGCACCATCTCATCCTATTCCCAGGCTCCCACCTTGCACAAGAATCAGCAAGTCCCTTCCCTCACCCCACCTGCCTGGGAGAGCCTTACCTGTCCTCTGAGTGGTGATTCACTGCTGGTCAAGAAGGACCTCAGTCACCCTGCCTCCCCACGTGGCCTGGCCATATCGGCCTGCCTCAGCCCTCCCTTGCTACAGTGCCAGTACCTACCTTTGCCAGGCTTTGTGCTGGCCAGTTGGCAGTACTCTGGGTTTGTCACGGTGCATGCTTATCTCAGATCCCTGTTGGGCACTGGATTTGTGAGATGGACTACAGTGGAGTGTCACTGTGGGTATTTGAATTTCTGACTTGCATAATATAATAGCTATTTAGATGATTATGTGAATTCTGTGTCACTGTGTAGGCCCTTGATATTGAATGACTTTTAAGAAAGACTTAACATTTTCAGCCTTTTACTATTTAGAATAATATATGCACTGAGTGTTCTGGTTCTCCAGTTTTGCTCTGAAGTTGCCTTTTGGCCTGCACTGAGACCTAGAGAGAAATGGAATAGCAATGTGTTTGGGGCTTTCTTTTTTTTTTTTAATCTGTTTTTTACAGTGGTGTCTGCAGAACTTCTCTAAGAAGGTTGTCCCAGTGATGTTTGAAGTCTTAAATGACAGGGTCCCCCTAAATGTGTTCAATATTATGGGACTTTCTCCACAAATGGTTTATGTCTGTTAAATATTAATCAACAGGAGAGGCCTTGTCCTGTTAGCCTTCTTTGCTCTTCTAGAACGTTTTGTTGTGCTCAGCTGTTCAGGGGTTGTGTTGAATTTGCTGCTAAAAGGGTTGGAAGACAAGGGACACTTTTGATGTCTTTGTTCTGGACGTAAAAGATGTGAGTTTCCTGATAGGACTAATTTAGGGACTTTACTTTTTATGTGGAGGCTGCAATTGCACCACTGCACCATGTTTCCAAAGAGGCTTCCATCTTGGAGATGTCAGCCAAGCTTCTCTTCATTGGTAACTTAACTCTTACCACCTCTTGTTAACTTTGAGCTGCAGTGAGCTGGAGAGGTTTTGTGGTAGCTGAGGAAGAAAGGCAAGAAAGCCTGAGGGAGAGCAAGAGACCGCAGACCTTCCATCAGAAGAAGGTGCCAGAACAATGCTCCATCAAACTTCCAGCACCTGAGTCATGTTTAGTACATCCATCTTTTTGTAAAATTTGTTCTTATGGCCAGGCATGGTGACAGATCCTACCTACTCTGGAGGTTGGAGAGCAGAAGGGTTGTGGTTCAAAGCCCACCTGGGCAAAAAGTTAGACACCATCTTCCTTTTTTTGGGTGGAACTGGGGTTTGAGCTCTAGGGCAAGACCCCATGTTAACAAGCAAGCCAGGAATAGTGCTTCATGCCTGTCATCCCATCTACAGTGAAGACATAGGTAGAAGAATCCAGTCCAGGTCATATCCGAGCAAAAGTGAGACCCTATTTGAATACTAACTAGAGCAAAAATGGATGGGGGCATGGCTCAAGTGGTAGAATACCTGCCTGGCAGGTGCAAAGCTCTAAGTTCAAACCTCAGTCCGCCAAAAAAATAAAATATTCTTATGTCTTCAGAATGGGTAGTGGAGATATACAGGAAAAACAGAAGCCAGAATCCTCAAACAAGCTGACTTGGGGTTTTCTAATTCCCTTTTCCCTACAGATGAACAGAGATGAACCCACATGGACCAGCCTTCCGGTTTGAGGGATGGGGTGCTTTCCTGTCTGACTGGCTCCTGCCCCACCTCCTGTGATCCAGCTGAAACTGCAGTTCTGTGGGGATGCCTGTCAACCACCAAAAGTCACATTCTTTAGAGATGGACCCCGACCTGGCCCCCAGCTGCAGGCTTGGCGACTTGAGCAGGGGTGGCAGTTTGGAGAGTCGGAGCAGCAGTTCTCGGTCCAGAAGTTTCACTTTGGTGAGTGGTGCTGTCGTCGAAGCTTTCACTGGCTTGGGTTGGGTGATTTTGCCCTGACTCCATCCCCTGCCCCTTTTAAGGAACAGCATACAAAAGCTTTTTGGATAACTAGCTAGATGTTTTGGAATATTTCTTTGCAAAATGGTATTTTGTTTTTAATCATCTTAAATATTGCACAAACACAAAGCATTACCCATAGCAGTGGAGCAAAGCTATAGCCTTAACCAGTGACTTAGGGCAGCTTAGCCCCAGGAAAAACTGTGCCCAAAGGCAGCAACACTCAGGCTGCACAGTCCTTTGAGTTGGATGACTAAAAGAAAAGGGACAGGACACCTCACAGAATCAAAACCATGCACTTTACCACTTTTTTTTTTTTTTTTTTGGTGGTAATGGGGTTTGAACTCAGTGCTTCACACTTGCCAGGCAGGTGTTGTACCACTTGAGCCACTCCGCCAGCCCAAAACTATTCACTTTAAAGTGGAATTTTAACTCCTTTTCAAATTGATTTATTCTAGACAGTACATGGCGCTAACTAACCCACTTGGGATTTTAGAGTCTTTCATTTTAAAGTGAAGAGGAAACCTTCTGTAACTCCCCTTGACCGGATATCCATCCTCAAGAGAGAGATATTATATTGACAGAAGGTGTGCAGAGAGAGCTCACCCTTGGGCCCCCTGATGGTGTCTGTGGCACATCCCAGACCATCTGCTTGCACTGGAAGCAGCAGGTCCCTTCAGATCCCGAGCTATAAAATAGCCCCAGTCATGCTGCAGAGAAGAAAGGTATACGTGGGATTGCATGTTAGTGATGTGGAACTCCATCTACTCCTGTTTCCGTATTTCTGCTTTAGAACCATTATGGTAGTAAGTCATAAGTGCTGTTTGATTGGCTCACTAAAAGAAAAATACATCACACACTGAACTATGAATATCTGAAAGCCTGTGAATAATGTAAGAATGGACAACTTAAAATTAATTTTGTAGTTTTCAAGGGTAATATAAAGAATAGATTAAAAGGCATATCCTAAGAACGTACAGAAAAAAAAAAAAGCCACCAATTAATATTCCAGTAATTAGTGTCATATATTTTCCAAAGCATAGTTAGGAGGCAGTGCTGCCTACGTCAGGTACAGCAGCCTAAGACTGCGGGGGCATGTGACAAAGCCGGAAGAGTGAGAATGTTCTTCACATGAGCTTGGTGTCAGAGTACCTAGCACAGAAGAATGGGTATTAAGGTCTGTCACCTGGCAGAGTTGGAGAACACATCATGTTGACTCTGTTAAGGTGCCATTCACAAGCATAATCTTCAGAGACAAAATCTCCTGGTAGAAGGGGGTCCATAAAGTTTCAGCTGCTAAGTCACAGAGAGAAATGGTATATTCTAGAACATTTTTTGTTTTTTGTTTTGTTGTGACAGGGTCTTGCTGTATAGCCAGGCTGTCCTTGAACTTGTGATCCTCCCACCTCTGCCTACCAAGTGCTAGAATTACAGGCATGTGCTACCGTATCTGGCCTAAAACCCTGTCATAAACTTTTTTTTATAGATGGATGATTGATTGACAGACAGATAGATGATTGATAGGTAGATGATAGATAGATAGATAGACAGATAAAGACTTGAAGACCATCAGGAGGCCAAGTGTGTGAAGCGAGGCCATCATTCTGCTTCTTAGCTGCTGGTGGCACAGGGTAGTTTGAGTCTTTGACATTGGGACCACACAGGTTTTCCTGTGGGTTGAGTTAAATGGACAGACCAGAGGGGCATTCCTCAAGATATCTATAATTTCTCTAAATTCCAAAACAAGTCCTTCTACATCTTGAAGTTGCTTTTATCTTTACTTACCAGTCAGTATCTTGAGCTCAGAACAGTAATAAACCCAAGGGCTTGGCGACACTCTTAGGTTCTCATCCAAATTCCACTCCCTTTGTCACATTGCAAGGGCTCATCACTGTGGGTTTAGTTTTGCATTAGGGAAGAAAGGGGAGGGTGGGACAATAATCCTCCTTCCGGAGCTAACCTTAGCTAAATCAGTGCTTGGCACCAGCTTCTTTTTTCCCAGTGTCCCGGGGAAACTCCTGCATAACTCCCCTTCTCCTGCATGTCTCCCGTGCTTTCCCCTGAATCTCCTTCTTCTATCAGTCGTCTTCTAAATTAATTTGTTTCTGATCACTAAAGGTAAAAGGCCACCTGATGGCCCTGTTGCCAGGAGGCTTCCATGGGCCACCATGGCCCCTGTGGCCGCCATTATGACTGAGCCTGTTCTAAGAAGTCAGTGCATGCACTCTTTATTTCAAGAGGGTTGTTGTGTTTGTGGGTTTTTCCTTTTTGTTGTCTTTTGTTTTGTTTTTTCTTGTAAGGATTTCTCCCTCTGCGCATTTTCTAGAAAGCTATAAATAGAACTAGAACTAAATGTCAGATTCTAGGATACACGAATATGTCTTTCCTTTGAAATCGAAGAGGGGTAGCATATAATCCAAACCCAAGGCAGCTTTTTCTTACGAAATTGGTTGTCTGGCTGAGGAACTCACTGACTTAAGAGGTGACCTAGACCCAAAGGTCCAGCTATTTCGGGACCGTCACAGGCAATGACTGTACCACTATACAAGGAAGCTGGGACCTGTATTCTTACCCTCTTGAGGCAGACTTCTCAAATCCTGAACCATTTCCTAAAATAGCTTGAGGGCCATCACCAGGGCCAGATGCTATCTCAGCTGTATCTTGGGTTCTGGTGTTCTCGAATCCTGTTCTGCCCCAGCACAACTGGGGCCTCCTGCAGAAACCACTGTGCTGTGGCTGCTTGGAAAGAGGGGAAGCTCTTCTCACTCACAGTTCATTCTTAAGGGACATGACCCTAGTAATATGTCACAGGTAGCTTGGGGACATCCCAAGCATACCTCCTCGTAAATACTATCTTTGAGTCAAAGACAAAGATCCAGATTCACTGGTGAGTTTCTGAAATTTAATATGCTATGAACTATCTTGGATGGTCCCCCCCACCCCACCTGTGGCCTTGAAGTTCAGAGCATGTCTGTCATCAGTGATTGTTAGCTCTTAAACTGCCCTCTTGGTTCTCCAGAGCATTTGATGTCTGCCACAGAATGAGGGTGCAGAGCACCTCATGGTCTGGTTAGGTGGAAGTCCGAGTGGGGTCCCAGGAATTTAATCTGTCCTTTGCTCTGTAAGTCCTAGAGGAGTGAGAATGGAGGTGCAGGTCGGTCAGGAAGTCTCCCTGTCCCCTCACAGCTATGGTTCTGGTCAAAACAGCTCTTTTAATACATAGCTCAGTAGCTTCTGTTCAATTCAGTAAACATTAGTAACTGCCTGTCTTGTACAAGAACTAAATAAAACTCAGTTTGAACCTTTTTAGTAACTCACATTATAGCCACAAGAGAGACGTGCATTCAGCTGAGACAGGGTGACACAGTATATAAAGGTCTTAGAGCAGCTGTAATGCTACCCAGTTAACTGTGTTTCTGTCTTAATCAAGATCCCTTTTTCTGGCAGTACTGGGGTTTGGACTTAGGGCTTCATACTTGCTAGACAATGCTGTACCACTTGAGCCACTCCAACAGCCCTTTTTTTGTGTTGGATTTTTTCAAGATAGGGTCTAACGAACTATTTGCCCTGGCTAGCCTCAAACCACAATCCTCCTGATCTCTGCCTCCTGAGTAGCTAGGGTTATAGATGTGAGCCCCTGGCACTTGGCCAAGATCTCTTTATAAGCGATATAGATCAAGAAAGAGATAACAGGCCGAGGTCTGTGTTGCCAGTTTAAAGAAGTTTCAGGCAGCTGGGGAGCCCAGCTGTAATCAAAACCATACACGTATCTCATTCCTCGCTGCTTTGTTTAAGTACAGGTTTAAGTTAGCCACAGTGAAAGATTACAACAATGTGTACTTGAAGTGACCATAATTAAACCCTTGTCCTGGAGTGGGGGAGCGCCATGCGCTCTACCTCCCTTTTGAGGTTGCCAAAGTCAGCAGGACATTTAAAGCTGCATAAGAAGAGGTTTTCTTGCGTGTTTGCCTCTGCCTTTATTCCATTTCAACTTCTGGGGTCTCTCTTCAGCTTAGATGATTAAATCCTGAAAGCGTTGCTCAAATGTCAGGGAAGTCATTTTGGTGTCTATTAGAAGAACAGGTGACTGCCAAAACAGACACCGGCTGGGAGACAAGCAAAAGGTCTTCATGCATGGCCCATCTCAAGAAGTTTTTGTAATCATCCTCATTTTTATGATTTTTTTTTTCTGGTCTAAAACACAGACGAGTTCAGCCAGTTCCTTTTTTGTTCCTTCACAAAGAGTTGTCATAATTGTTTCCGTCTGGGGTTAAATGAAATGTCTTTGCTGAAAGAAAACAAAAGAAAGGAGAAGCTTAAGAAATTAATTATGGGAACGAATCAGGAGTTCTCCTAAGGGAGGGAAATTTAAACCTTCACAGGCCTTTCTTCAGCTGAAGGGTTTGTTTTGTTTTGTTTTTAAATTCTTTCTCTTCACTATCCCATTATCCCTCCTCCCCACCCACCCAAAAAAAAAAAAAAATCTCCCGTCCCAAATCTGTTCTAACACAGATAGGGCTGAGCTTATTGACTTATGTAAGTGTAGCTAGCATCCATTTTAAAAGTTTGCCATCCACCTTTTTTTTTTTAATGTTATTAGCGTATATTAATTGTATAAAGTAATGGGTTTCATTTTGACATTTTCATGCTGTCATCTACCATTTTCTTCTGAATGTTCTTCTCACTGCTTGATTTGGCCTAGAAACCTTTTTTCTGTTACCGTCTCGCAGGAGTGAGTGGATACCAACAAGCCTTTGCTCTCTTTATGGGAGGCTGGTTGGGGGTGCATTCCAATTACCTTAACAGAGTTAGCATTCGACTTTTCTGGGGAGAGATGTTGCACATTCTGAAGGCAGTGTTTCCCGTGGAGACATAACCGTCACCATGTAGGGGGTTAGAACAGGTGAGGTGTGGTTTTCTGGATAGTTCTGTTAGCATCTGGA